ATGTTTGTCTGTGTATTTCTTACACTGGGAATTAATATTGGGGAAAGAAGTCGTTTACTTTGTGTTTGTCTTCCCAGTGACGGAAAGAAAGAAAAGGGAGTAGTCACTGTTTTACCATAGGGAAAATGCATACAGAAATTAGGCAGAAACAGCTTGTGTATAATTGAGAACAATATTTCTAGTTGATCATTTTTGTCTATTTTTATTATGATGAGAACACTGTTCTAACAAGTGATATGTATCTGTTATCTATCATCTATCTGTCATCCATTAACTATTATCTATTATGTAACTATCATCCATAACATATATTTACTGTCTATCTTTTCTTTTTCCTTTCTTTCTTCCTTCATTCCCTCCCTGCCTTCCCTCCCTCTGTCCTTTTCTCTTCCTTCCTTCTTTCCTTTTTTCCTTCCTTTCTATCTTTTTTCTCTCCCTCCCCTCTTTTTTAAAAAGTCTTGTCAGTTATTCACTTGGAATAAAGATTTAAGTCCTATAAAACAAACAGGGCAATTAGTGAGTTTCAAGTGTGCCAACCCATGAAGGTTATTTCCTTTCTTCCCATGCCCATTTGGTAACAGTGGTTCTCCGGGACTGCATAATTACAGATGAATGACAGTGAATTGCCTGGACAATAATTGGTAGGAAGTACAATTATGAGAAGTCATTAGTGGGAGTAAATGAATAGCTGGTTGCTTAAATGGTCAATGTTGAAAGCCCAGTGTGGTTAAACATTGTATTAAATTACAGCCTTTGTCATTTAAGAATATTTATAAATCACTAATCTTTCTAAGCTGTATTTTTATACAATCTTTGATTTGTGGTACAGTACAGGAGCTGCTCAATGTGGGTTTCAGGAGTTCAATGAAGAAAACAGTGCACATGCAAAGTGTTCCGCGCTCTCTTTACCAGGGAATCGGCCAGTCTATCTTGCACATATAACATTTGTAAAGTAATATATGGTGTTTTGAGAACCCAAACTAATTTCGTACAGTTGGTGTGTGGTTCTGCTAAGAGTCTGAGAATTGTGTGTGTAACCAGTCTAGTTCTTTGGTCCTGTGTTTGATCCATGTTCTGAATTCAGAATCGATTGTCTAATTACTATGTAATCACGTCCTGGAGGAATTTTGGCTTCCTGTCTGTACAATATGTTAACACAATAAAAAAGAAACTAAAAAGAAAATCACAACATTCATGTATTCATAGTGCCAACCGGTGATATGAGGATATAGGTTTAATAATAATAATATATAATAATAACTACAGAAATGATTTAGTTCTGACAAGCAGTACTAACTGTAAGTTACTGCCAGTATCAGCTCTCCCAGGCCTTCTTATATCTGCTCAGCTTGTAGATATTTCAGTAGTGATTACAAATTGTATTGCCTCTCTCCTCCAGCTCTCAGAGCATACATGTTTTTTCCCAACACTCCCATCTGCTCTATGGGTATACGTGTGCTGAACCTGATGTGAGATGGCAAGTGAGTTTGCTGTGCTCACCACAGGGCATCTTTTATGCCAGCTTTTCCTTGTTTTGACTTTCTTTGACATTGTTTTCCATTCAGAAATGTGTGTGTGGGGTACCATCTCCTCCCTACCTCTGCTGTCCTTAGCTACCCTGAGAATACTGAACAGAAGTGCTGAAGGGTGTCTGCTTCCATTTTCCCCAGCTGGTCAACCCTGAAGGTGTTTAATACATAATGCTCTAATGAACAATAAAGCTTAGGGACTCCATTTCCATGGCACAGAGTCCAATCTAATTGAATAGATATTCAAGGTCTGAGGTACTTGCTTCTCCCTGTCTTATTAAATACCATATAATTTATATGTATGTGCATATTGAGCACCTATTATGTACCAGACACTGCTTTGGTGTTGTTATATTACTTTTGCTGCCGTGTTTAAGTGGGTGAGACTGATAGGCAATTGTAACACTAGAAGCCAAGTTGCAGTTGTGTCAAATATGAGACAGGTGAGAGGTGGGGTGCTGTGAGAAATTACAACACAGAGACTGACTATTCAGGTGATCTTGGAGGCTTGCTTTACGGCCAACAAAAATCTCTCCAAAGAACGCAGCATTCTCCCTTATGAGAATCTCAGGTGGAAGAACGTCAGGTAATGCTTCTGAGAGCCTTCTTGTGTTCATCCATAAGTCTGTATAGTCTGTGTAGGCAGAAAAAATACAGATCTGATAGTCTCTGTGTTATCACCACAATCCTTGTTTTTTTGGTTTTTTTTTTTTTTAATTGCTTCTATATGCAGTCTTGTTCTCTCATACAAAACAACTCAAATAAATGGCTCACCAACTACTCAGTTTCTCTTGCTCCAACTTAAACCCCAGATAGGCTCATTGATGGCTCAGTCAAATTCCCTGCATTTCTTTTAGGAGTATGTGGGAAGAGTAAAGGACAAGAAGTAGTTGAAGTGTTCCCATGGAAACGTTAGGCAGTGGTGTACTTTAGATGGATGGGTACTGGGAGGATTTCAGAGCACGGAACTCACAAAGGGGTGGAGGCAGGAATGATGCTTATATATGCAACGAGTCTAAGAGATGAGCTTCTTGGGATAGAAATGTCCTTACTAAGTCAGAAACTATAGAGCAGGGCCTACTTGGGAGAGAACTGGGGCGTTAAGAAAAGAATTTGGGCCTTTTTACTGGGGTCTGAAGAGAGAAAATACAGATGAGACAACGAAGAAGAGGTTGGGTTAAAATGATTCACCAAGTACCAAATATATCCGGGCACAGGGTCTTTTCTGAGACTGACACTCAACCAAGGACCATCTATGGATGTAACCTAGAACTTCTGCTCGGATGTGGCCCATGGTAGCTCAGTAACCAAGTAGTTTTCCAAAGTAAGGGGAACAAGGACTATTTCTAACAGGATCTCAAGGGCAGGCTCTTTGACCTCCCCCTCCCCCCCGCCCAGGGGAGGAGCAGTCCTGTTAGGCCACAGAGGAGGACTTTGCAGCCAGCCTTGAAGATACCTGATAAAACAGGGTCAAATGAAAGGGGAGGAGGTCCTCCTCTATCAGTGGACTTGGAAAGGGGCAGGGAAGAGACCAGGGAGGGAGTTGGGGAGGGGGAGGGAATGAGGGAGCGGGATACAGCTGGGACACAGAGTTAACAAATTGTAACTAAAAAGAAAATAAAAATTAAAAAAAAAAAGAAAAAAAAAGATTCACCAAAATCTTTTAAAAAGCATATGATAAGGAATGGTTAGAATAAGAGCCATTTGCAGAAGGTCCAGCTTAGTTGATTAGCTGTTTTGACATCTTGAGTTTGAGTGATTATAGATCACGAAAAGGTCAATACCTCCTGTAGATGGAAGTAGGAGGCTAGAGCTCAGAATATGTCCAAATTTTATATTTTAGTCATATAAGAGAGAATGATGCTTTTGCAAAGAATAAATAAGTTATGAAATAGTTTTACTTCATTGAAAAACTCAACATTCAAAAGGACATGAACTTTTCCTAATAATTAAGTACACATTTTAAAATTCCATGTTTCTTTGTTCATTTGATTTGAGTATTGCTTATGAGAATGATTAGCTGATAAACATGGTTTTTTTTGTCCTCACTTTTGATTCTTTTTGATACAAGGTAACAGTCATCTTTGATATACAGGTCATTGTCTTTGATACACAGTCTTCAATACTTCACAGCACTGAGGTACTTTTTGAGTAGCTAATCAAGAACAGGTTAGAGGAATTCACACATATGTATATACAAATAAATAAACTTTATTTCATTGTATTATTCCCACGGGTTAAGATGTACAAACAAGGAATAAAATTAAAATTATTTTCTTGGGGGATGATTTATGCCTTAATTTCCACCTGCCCTATAATTAGAAATTTTGAACTCTGTAAATGTTTTTTAAGATAAAATTATTGCCTTGGTAAACTTCAGAAATTACATCATTAACCCAAAGACCTTTCTCAGCCTGGAACAACATGGTTGGTACAAGTGTCTGTGCACACACAGACAAATAAATAAAGAGGAAAGTTTAAAATAATTTGAAAATGATTTATTGTCAGCCACCCCTGCAGTTAGGAATTCAAGTATTATTACTTTACTTCAGTGCAGCAGGGGAGGACAGCAACTTGCTGTGGGCTAAAGGTAAATTATGATCTCTTGCAAAGGAGGAAGGAGATGTACTGAGGAAAAAGGGGAAGGAGTAGGGAGTAAGCAATGTGTTTTCTGAACTATTGCTTCAGATGATGTCTTTAAAAATTCGCCTCAACCTCTGCTGGAAAATCCCAGTGGAAATGGTGAAGCAAATGGCATTCTTAAATCTTTGATAGTTAAGGACATAGGTTCTTAGTACAGGGAGGAGGATCAGGTTATGTCAGAGTACAGTGTACATTAAGCTAGGTGGAGGCACAAGTTTTCCTGCTTCAACTGCTTGATGATCTCATCCCAGATATACCAAGTTTTAGTCCAAAGAGATTAAGTAACACAGAGTCCTAGGACAGCTGTTCTGAAGTAGCTTCCACTCTGCTTGCAGTATTTGCCGGTGAAACTCTCCATGTTGTCAATGAATTATAGACTTCTACAATAGGATAAAATATCTCCTGTTTCATATTTGAAATGAGAGTGAAGTAAAAGCTTATCCTTCTTAGCACAAAGTGATACAGGGAAGGAAAAAGTAAAACCTGACATATGCCAATGTCTTTTTATGCAACAAGATCCGAGCTGGATACTTCATTCACTAGCATCTCATTAAACTGCCCTAAGCCCTATGCTTGATGTTGGAAGTTCATCTGCTTCTATTTCCCTGTGCAAGTGAGAAAAATGAAGCCCACCTGTATGTATTTCCTCTATGTCAAGACTGGCTCGTGTGTAAATTTTTTCTACTGGCAGTTCCTGTTTTACAACTCACTACTCTGTCCTTGGCGGGGTTTATGAGCACCTCTTATTAAATCATGTTCTTATTAACAATTAAATTGTTAAGTAAATTAACAATTAAATCTAGACAAGTTTTCTCCTTGTGGCTTTAGGATCAGTTCCAGAGGTTACTGTCACCTATCTTAGAGCAGCTGCGTGTGCTGGGGACACAGTGTTGGCGCTGGAGGATGCTGTGGGTTGGCATCCTGGGGATGAGGCCGTCATCATCAGTGGAATGAATGTTGAAGGTGGTGAACCAATGGAAGAAGTTGTTATTGTGGAAACTGTGCACAATGCAGACCTCCATCTCAGGAGCCCTTTGAGGTACTCAAACTTTTTAGGTTTATACAAAGGAGGATGAGATTTTAAGCAAATTGCGCTCTGGACATTTATTTCTTGATGAGCTACATTAGTGTTCAATAAGACAGGGCATCTGGACAGGAAAATAATAAAGCGTGAATGTTATGGAAATGAAGATTTCTTAAACATGTTCTCTAGAGGGACTCTGGAATTTCTGTCTTAGCAAGTGGCCAGTAAGCAGTTCCCATTGTTATGCACAATGTGTTTTATAGATGTCTATATTGCTCATACTTTTTGATATTTGAGTTTCTAAAGAAACAGGCACTCTCCAAAGAATAATCTATTTACTATTTATAATAAGATGTAGACTGGTGCTCTCAAGTGCATCCTCCTCTCTTATTCTTTTCAGATATTCCTACAACTTCACAGAGAACTGGGTAGCTGGAAAGAGCCTTATTTTGAAGGCTACAGTGGCTCTTCTCAGCAGGAACATTACCATCCAAGGAAATCTTACCCTTGAGAGGGTAAAGCTCCTCGATTCCTGCCAGGAGACCAATGCTTCTGAAGGTAGAAATGCAGTTTGATGAAGAGCCCAAAGAGTGGATAAGTGTTCTCACTGTCTGACATTATGTGGCAGGGCCTTGGTTGGTCTTCTTCATTAAAATCTTCGAGTGTGCATATTTTTCCATAATTTTCAGAATCCTCTTGGCAGCTTGTCATTTCATCTCTTTCCTCACTTCCAAGAAGTTAAAAGAAATAGGAAAAAGGCAAAGGAAAGAATTTAATTATTTGTCCTGGGGTAACTTGGGTTAGTGAATTAAATCTTGAGACTTGGAATGCTGTAATGATTTCATTAATCCCAGGCTCCTCCTGAGACTCTCAAGAGAACTATGATTTCAGAATCATAAGCATGGGCAGTTCATTCTTATTGATTAGATCTGTACTTCCTCCCCTGTGAGGGGTTTGTTTTCTGAGTGACCTACCTCATACTCTAGGTACAGGAGTGTAAGAGCCAATTTATCTTCCAGTAGAAGAGCAGGCACTGAATCACACTGATGTGCCTATTAAACATCTATTTCAGGGATGGTTAGTTTAGGAGGTTATGTTTTGGTTTTCCAGGCTGTAGATTATGAGGCTTTCACATGCTGTGAAGATATCATTTGTCAACTTTGGTCCAGGATGGTGTGGGTGTCAAGGATGACTTCCAGGCATGAGCTCTGGATGGATGATGAAGCTTTTATCGTGATGGGAAGAGGGGAAGGTTTTGGGGTAGGAGGGTGGTAGTGAATATGAGTTTAATTTTGTACATGTTGAAATGGAGAGGGCAGGCTAGCAACTGAATGGAGATGTCTGGCCGTGTCTGGATCTTGATAGAAATACCAAGGCTAAAGTTAAAGATTTTCAGAGATATGTACACAGAGGTACAGTGGTGTAATATAAGGGGTTCTTAGTAGTAGAGAATGAACGTGACCTCACTTTTTTCACTCAAAGTTATTAACAGCTAACAAATATGAAATTTGTTAAAAAAAATTGGGTAAAAGTGGGATAGAGTTGATTGACAGCTTCCCTCACAATTCTTCCAAATTGGGATCATAATTATGCCAAAGCATATAAATAAACAGCATTTCTTCTTTAGCTGCCTATAGGTCAATTCCTTGAAGAATTAGACTCTGTAATTTATCAGAGAGAGACATCGTTTTGATTGATTGCTTCCTCTTTTGTTCATTTTTTTTGATGTTTTGGATACGAACCTTAGTGTTATCAATACAGATGGGCATGTAGGTGTGCTGGTTAGTGTTGTTAGCTTGACAGAACCTCCAGTAACCTGGGAAGAAGTAGCGTCATTCAAAGAGGTGCCAACATTAGATTGACCTTTGGTCATGCCTGTGAAAGGCTGTCTTGACTGCAGACTGATGTGGAAAAGCTTGACCCACTGTGGGCAGGACCATTCCTAGGTGATGAGTCTGGGCTGTTTAAGAAGGCAACTTAAGTATGAGCCAGAGAACAAGCTAGTAATCTGTCTTCGTCCATGGTCTCTGCTGGAGTGCCTGGCTTGGGTTTCTTTAATGATAGACTGTGGCCAGGAAGTGTAAAGTGAAATAATCCCTTCCTTCCCTTAAATTGCTCTTACCACAGCAAAAGAAAGCAAACTAGAACAGTAAGTATATCTGAACTAGAGTGATTTTGATTATTATGGCTATGAACTCAGAGATAATATGGCTAGTACTGATTCAAATCTGAAGATGACTTCTCCATTTTGAGATTATTTTCCCATATTCAGATGTTAGTGAAAAATATTCTGCGTGCTGTCCTTTCAACACTGTAGCAATGGCAGTTATGCCTTAGGTACAGGTCTCTTTTTTACAGAGATTCTCAGTAACTTATCTACAGTTCCCTGTCCTTTCACTGAAGCCATTTTTACCAAAGCCCCAAATATACAACAGCATAGTGAAGGAGAAACTTCATTGGGCACTTCAAGGCTATAAGGTGTTGTAACAACACCCAGCGCTCACGACTTTCCCCAACAATTATCAAATATGGAAAAAAAAAAAAACCTTTTTGTTGCATTTCTTAAAGGTTGTCTTTTACATTAAAATCAGCACCAGTTTAATTGGGTTTGTGAGTTGTAGAATACAACCCTTTTTTGATAGGAATTAAGGCGATTGTGTGTGTGTGGGGGCATTTCCCGAAATAGGAGTTAAGGGACAATATCATGTCCTAGTTATTTGATCTATTTAAACAATCCAAAGAGAGAAATCAGTAACAACAAAAAAGACCACTTGTCCTTTGTATGCAAACAGCTTAGCAAACAGAGAATTTGTTGAGAAGCATGTTCTAAAATTTCCCTGGGACATCATTGTGTGTTTCAGGTAACCTGAAGCACTGTTTGTATTCTAAGAGTGAGAAGATGCTGGGAGCCAGGGATCTGGGGGCCAGAGTCATCATTCAGTCCTTTCCAGAGGAGCCCAGCATGGTCAAACTGAAGGGAGTGGAGTTTCAAGACCTGGGACAGGCCTTCCATAAGCATGCAAGCTCACTCGCCCTGGTGGGAATGATGAGAGGTGGGGACCATGTCTTGACCTTCCCAGTTTTCTTCTTCTATGTTGATGATACCATATGATTGAGCTATGTGGGGCTGAGGAATTCAGAGATGGATAAATGTTTACAGGATAGGTGAATGCTTTTCAAACCTTAATACCAAAGTAAATCCCACATGGGACTCATTTAAAGTCAGTTGCACTCACTCAGAAGAGTATCTTGGACATGTGATTACTTACCAACCATTCGGCAGCACAGTGTGTTCTGATGGGTTGATGTTCTGATAGAGTTTCTGAGTTCAGAGAAAACCTACATCAGATAGTGTTTCTGAAAGAAGCAATTATTGATGGGTTAATTCACTGGTGTTATTTTTTTTTTTCATGAGAAACTAGAGGTTTTGCTTTATAACCAACATACAACTTTGAGTAAATGAAACTTTTGCAGTAGTGTCAAGCAGATCAAATACACCTTACTATTAAATGAAGACTCATTGTACTAGATATAAATATTAATGAAAAAAAAAGCAACCCTCCTCCATTCTGCAATGAGAAAAGATTCTGTAGTTTTATTTTCAAGGGAATAAATACATAGAAGAGAAATTTGTCATTAGAGCTTTTGACCTGGGTCACCACACTCTGAGAATACTGTCCCAAAAGTGTCACTCTAAGAAACACCCATTTTAGCTTTATTGTAGTTCTCTTAGCTTTACAAGCATGCAACTTAACAGATACATTATGATTTTAAGGTTAATTTCTTATAATTTTATAAGCTACATAACTATATCAAGGGATTGTGCATTTGATGTTGTATGGTTTAGCATGTGTGAGGCTACATACACACAAGCACACATACTATTGAATATGCTTGTTTTGAATTGTTTACTAGAGTAAAATTGGCATTATATGGATCTGTAGTTGCTATATTACTTTTTAACTACCAAATTGGTTAAATAGTCTAAAAAGCTTTCTTTGACCAATAGCAAGATAGTTTTGGAATAATTATTTTTGAAAATAAATATGAATGTTTAAACCTACTCAGCAGTATGTTAAGCATATGCTGAACATTCAAAAGTTAAAAGGAACACGAATAAAAATATATGACACAGAAAGTTATTTTTGAGTCTTCTTAAAAAATTCCAAGAGTATTTTACTATTCCTTATTTTTTGAGAAATACTTAAAGTTTCTAACCATTAATTTTTTCTTAAGAAGAAAAATTATGCACAATTTAAACTGATATTTCAAAAACAAATGATTTATCTTTATCTATTGATTATCCAAAGATAAATGATTTATCTTTATCTATTTTAACTGATTTTCTATTTTACTCATACGTGATTTTAGACCTTATTATTCCCATGATTTATCTTAGAAAGATATTGTGCCAATTACATAGTTTTCATATGATAAAAGTCATAATAGGATTATAAAGTTAACTAATATATCTTAACTGACATAGATTATTTTTATTTTTATTCAGATTTGTCAATTGCACAAACTAATAAGTTTTGTGATGACATATCATTCATACAAATAATATACTTTGATAATCTTCCATCCTCTGTTATCATATTCTATCATCCTGTCCTTCTACTCTACCTCCAAGCCCTCTTTCGATTTTCATGCATTATCTTGACACAGACTATTTTTGAAATAATCTATCATGTACATTATTATAAACTCAAAAGAAGAAAAACTGTCCATAGCAAAAATAGATTTATCTTTAAAAAATCCTATGCTAATAATGGTAACATTAAAGTTTTGTTTGTTTATAGAGAAAAACAAACAAGATTGTAAACTCAATTCAGAATGTAGTTCTTTGAAATGCCCTATTTCTACGCATACAGCAGAACATACCTTGTTATAATTTTCAACGTTACAAGTAAAAATGAAGTTCTACTTTGTATTCATATATATGCATCAATGTGTATGCATGCATATATATGTCTATATATTCTTCTGAAGAAGAGAGAGCAAGAAATAGACCATCCGCCCCCAGTTAATAGCAACATTCATTGGAGAACAGCCAGAAGTGATAAAGGCAGAGCTGTACAAACAAATCCGTAGGTCAGTCTAATGGAGGCAATGCTTCATTTAAGGCTTCTTTTTTTCCAGGTGTGTTACCACCACCAAGATTAGTCATGACATCAGCCAGTGAGGGTCTTGGCCCATGATGGCCTGATATTCCTAATCCAAATTATAGTCAAAGCCCAAAATTGACCTGAGAACCACCAAGTTTATGAGAATCCAGGGGAAGTTGCTTCAACCGTGCAGAAATGAATTGGCATTTAAGAAAGTAATGCCTCTGACTCAATATATCATCTCTGTATCTACCCCAAATAATGATAGATGTCCTGGGCGCGTCAACAAACAAATGTTTGCTGTCAGCTACATTTATGCAGCACAGGATAGCATTTCTGTCAGTCACAGCCCCTCCCACTCAGGGTGGTACTGTGCCTGGGCCAGTGGGCATGGGCTCTATGAAAAAAGCTAACTGAGCATGAGCCAGTAGGAGTGTGAGCAAGAAAACAGTATTCCTCAGTGTTTTCTGCTTCAGGTTGCTGCCTTGCATTGCCCAGTGATAGACTGTAAACTATAAGATGGAATAAACCCTCTCATGCCCAGTTTTCTTGTGGTCATAGTGTTTTCCACAGCAACAAAAACTAAATTAGAAGAGCTGAAAGTTATAAACATCAGTTTATAGCCCAAGAAATAGTGGCCATAACTTCACGTCTAAGTGTAGTTTTTAATAGATCCAGGCTAAATCCTATCAGACCTTGACACCTCTGCTGTACCATATTATGACAAAGGATGCTGAGGAGGTAGAATTCTTGATGGCCACATGGCTTTGTGGCTGAGCCATACTCTTCTTAGATGCGGAACACTTTGTAGCATTTGTGTCTTGAACTTCAACCAGTTTAATCTTCAAGATCTAGTGGCCTTGCTTGCCTTATTTCTTTGCTTTCTTCACATGACAAAATTTCATTTTTGTGTAGAAAATAAATTTTGCCGGTATATCTTGTTTGGCTATGGTCAACAGAATCAGGGGAGACTCTGAGGTGTGAGTAAAATTTTCACCTTACTCTTTCCTATTCAGGTTCCTATCTCCAGAAGTGTTCAGTGTGGGCCTCCTTCAGCAGGGGCCTCAGCATGCACAGGACCTGGGGCCTGAAGGTGGACAGTAATATATTCTATAAGATTGTAGGTCATGCCCTGCTGGTGGGTAAGTAAATTCGCTTGGTTAATGTATACATTTTTGAGTAGGTTGGGCAGTGTTTCAGAAGTCATTCCTTCCAATTGTTGAATTTCACACTTACAAAATCATCGTTTTTCTGAGCATTACCTAGGAAGACCCGGCTTAAAATCCCCAATTTAAATTTATTCACCATGGTGTGACTTATTAAACTGTATCTACAAGAAATGAATCATTTAAAAGTTGAGTTCAGGTTGATAAATGTCAAATGGGAGGTTTTAAAAATTTACTGCCATATAATTTTCCATAATTCTAAGTCTGTGCACAGTCTCAGATGCTCGGACTTGGATGATATTGGCTAAAGATTTAAAAATTGAATTTGCATGTAAGTGCTTTTGTAGTAGGCTGAGGCTGGGGTTTCAGAACTGGCCGACTACTCATTAATTTCCACTTTTGTCCCTTTAAGTTCATGACCAAACATCAAAATTATTCTTAGGTAATTAGAAGTCTCAGTTGGCATCACATTGCTCTTAGAAAGCAATCCAAAAGTTTTAGCTGGGCTAAAGATTGCCCCGTCAGTGATTTTTCATCCCCATTGATTTCTGTAAACTCATCTTTATCTTCTTTGTTTTTACTTCTGTACTACCATCATATAGGAGCTACTTTATTTCATTCTTTTCAAAGATAATACCTTTTTCTGCTATATGGCTTTTGCACAGATTTCTTTTCTCTTTGTTCAATGATAGGTTCTCTCCTGGAACCTTCTTCCCCCTTACACTGCCAGGTTATCACTTCTTAACTTAAAATTAAATGTCACATTTCTGACCATCAGATTCATCTTGCTTTACCACCAGATTTTGTGAGATTCTGTCTACTTAGCTTTCTTATTGATAGTTCATGGTAGGCCAGTTAACTGAAAGAAATAATTTAATATGCAGTCTCTGGTTGTGTCAAACTATAGAAAAACGCAGCAGACATTTTTGCTGAAATTAAGAACATAACTGTGATTGTTAGTGTTTTATTTTTAAATGAGTCCTGTGATGTAATTCAGGTTGGTAGCGGGAGCTTATGTTTCATTTAAGGTTATTATTTTTTGAGATAAAAGGCTGAAAAGGTTCTAATTCAAAAAGAAATGTTGTTTAGTGAGGGAATATGGATCTTATGAACTTACTTAAAAACAAACTCCAGCTTGAAGGTAAAGAGCAGATGCATGAGATAGTCAGGTATACAAAAATCTCTTGACTAGAGAGGGGTGGCCACAAGAAAGTCAAGCCAACAGATACAGTCTTGTCTCTGTTCTTTCTTTTGTCTATACAAGTGAGTCTCTGACTGAAAGCAGAGATTTAGGATGACATATTACCAATATGATCTTAGCAAGAAATGATACTCAATAGGCAATTAAAAAACTGTAGAAGGAATTCATCCTTTGTTAGTGTGGATTATTGGTTCTTGACATCCTTTGCATTGTAACTGAAAGAATTAAAACATTTAATTCATTATAAAGTTCTTATTCATGTCTAAAAATCTCACAAGCTCTTTTTAAAATTAATAATTAACTAATTAATTCGCTTTACATCCCGCTCATAGCCCCCTTTTTCTCTTCTCTTGGTCCAGCCTCCCTCCTCTCTTATTCCTCAGAAAAGGGGAGCCCCCACCCACAAAATGTCACAAGCTCAGATTCATTGAATGACACAGGAATCTCAGATAAAGTAAAGGCCTAGCAATAAGGGGTTCTGTGGTGCTGTCCTTACACAATGGATCCCACTTAAATAAAAAATGCCTTTTTTGTGTCATATGGTTGGAACATTCTCGGCTCTTCTAATCCCGTTCTCATTGAGCCTAATCCTGTCCAGCCTGTTTCTCCAGAGCATGTCTGCTCTTCTAGAAAACGTGGTCCATACAATTCGAAAACCAGGCTGGGCTGGACTCAAGCAGTGCGGGTTCTCCTTAATAAATTTTTCATTAAATTTTTTCTTTGACAATTTTATGCATGTATTTAATAAATTCTGTTTGTTTCTACTACCATCTTCTACCGCTCTCCCCTTCCCTGCCCTCCAAGTCTGTTTTTCATATTCATGTCTTGTGTGTGTGTGTGTGTGTGTGTGTGTGTGTGTGTGTGTGTGTGTCACCACGTTTAACCAAGGCCATCTTTATAGTTTGGGCAGTGGAGACACTCACTTACACTCCATCTAAAAATTAAAATAGAAAGTATATTCCCATGATTATTTTTCTGTAAAGTAAACTTGAGATCCACGATATGCTAAGACTTATAGCCCATATGGTATGTATCTTTTTCTCTGTCACATGGATAAAAATAAAATAAAAATTATCCAAACAAAAAAAGAAAGTTTTATTTCTTCTTTCTTTCCTGAGTGATGTCAAATAATATAATCCTCTGTTCCCAGGAGCCTACATGGACAGGAGCTTTAGAACTAGTGATGCTATTATTGGAAGAAAAACTGGTAAATATGTAAATTTATTTTGAATTCATTGTAGTTCATCTATGATTATAATAATTTATAGACAGATATCATGACATACTGTTAATTGTAAATAATTGAGCATACTAAATTTTTCTAAGTGTATATATATAAATATTTTATTAATTCTTTGAGAATTACATACAACATATTTTGAAACATATTCATGCCCCAATTCTTGCTCTCTACCATCCTATTCCTTCCCACTCAACTTTGAGAAGACTTCTGTGTTTTTCTTCTTTCTTCATCAAACCTAATTCCATTACTTTGCTAAACTTGCATAGTATTAAAATGACTTCTGATGCCTTATTGCTGTACTAACAGATCAGAACATCTCTCGACCCTCATCAAATATACATTTTTTTTGAGAGGGTTCCTCTGTGTTTCTTGGTGGTCCTGGACTCGCTATGTAGACACCACTGGCCCCGAACTCACAGAGATTCCTCTGTGTCTGTCTCCCTGAGGGCTAGGATTGCAGGTGTGTGCCACTGCACCTGACAAGATATATAATTTTTTAGAATTTATTTTTAGTTGTATGAATATGTATGCATCTATGTGTGGGTTTATACACATGAGTGTAGGTGCCTGAGGAGTCCAGAAGAAGGAGGTAGAGTGCTCCTGACACTGGAATTATAGGAGGGTGTGACCTGCCCAATATAAGTACTGAGAACTGAACTTTGCTCTTTTCGTATTTTCTTTTAGCCATTGAGCCATCTCCAGCACCATCTTTATAATGCATAATATGTAATTGTATGTATATACATATATATGAACTATAGTCTACATTAACAGAGTCAATAAGTATTGAGCTATATAAATTTTAATTGTGAATCTAGTATGTTTATTTTATTTATTTTTTCAAATTAGATTGGTGGGGATCACAGGGAATTACAATAAGAAACAATGTGATCATCAGCGTTTCTGGGGCTGAGGGACTGTCCAGTCCTGAAATTTTGGCACCAGCTGGCATCTACAGTTTCAGTCCCACCAATGTGATAGAGGTAAGAGCGTTGGTTACACCAAGAGACTATAAGCTGATAGTGTACAAAAATCTCTTCCAACAGTTCATAGGAGTATCAGATATTTGATTTTAGTTGTTCACTTGAATTAGTACCAAATTTGTTTATGATTTTGTGTTAGGTGCGCAATGTAACAATTGATTTCAGGATTCCTATAAAATCTATTAAGTATGATCTCTGTAGGAAGCTTAATGAGTTGTATATTGATAACTTTCTGGTAATACAAACTGAAGTACCTTGTTTTGGATCTCTTGGTTGTGATGCAAATTACTTATTAAATCACCCTTAGCCTATCATATTCATTTGCTATATTTTTTTTTAACCAAAAGAAGGTTTTACATTGAATCAGGTGGTATATGAGACATTAGGTTTCAGGAGCATGAAGTTAATTATTATTCCACTATTTAATGCCAGTAAATGTGGTGAAATTTTAGCCAGTCGGTGGAAAACTTTTTTTTTCTATTTATCATTAATCACAGATTTATGAGTGAGAAGTTCTACTACAATGGCAACAGGCCATTTTATTTCTCTCGTTAATTATTTTATCCCTTGATATACCTCCAGCAGGGGCTAAGGGTCTCGGTTTCCCAGGATGTTGCTCTGAGCATCATTTCCACAGCCCCATAGCCCCACAGACCCACAGACCCTTTCTCTGCCAGTATCAAGACATTTATACCCAGTTTCTGAGGAGCACACAGGAAAAGCTGCTCTTAATTACCTTCAGTTGAATAATCCCTAATAAAAGTTGTGGTTCTCTGCTCAACACGCCTTAGACCCTTAATTGTGTCTTTCCGAAGCACAGCACTTACACGCCATTTTAGGTGCCTAATAGGGGTGGCTAATAGGCCACTGACAAAGGAGGCAGAATTTCATGGACCATCAGAAACCAAACCCTTGAGAAGTTGTGTTGAACTTTTTGGCCACTGCAGGGCTTGTTGCTCAGCTGGGAAGGCAGCTCTGGGGCCTAGAGAGTTTTATTTTTCCAGACTCTCTTAGGTAATATAATCTCATGTGCATTGAAGCATCTACTAGACAAAAGCAATCAAAAGTTTCTCGGCTCACCATTTGTGAGGCTGGAACATCCTTGCCTTCCTGAGTCAGTGCTATATTCCCTGGCCAGAAGAGAAGTTGACCCACAATGTTCCAGGGGAGCCTTCCAGATGCCTTCCATTTATGTATATTTGGTTATTTTTTTCCTTGCAGGAATTTTTTAAAATATTTACTTTACATCCCAATCCTATCCCTCTTCCTCCTCTGTTCCTAGCCATACTCTCCCTTCCTCTTCCTCCCTCCCCTCCCACTCCTCAGATGAAGCAAGCCCCCCCCAACACTAATACCAACCCATATCAGCACATCAAGCTGCATCAGGACTGAGTGTATCTTTATCCTCTGTCAAGGAATACATACATACATACATATATATGTAGATATACGATGTCTATATATAGATATAGATATATGACTACATACACACACACACATATATATACATAGATATAGGTATCATATATATCTATATAGGTATAGATATAGGTATCATATATATATATGATATATATATATCTATATAGGTATCTGTGAATGACACACAGAGTACTTTATAGAATGAATTCTAGATTTTATTTCTAATAGATAAAATTGTTCAACAGTAATATGAATATGCATGCATATATAATATATGGTATAGAAAACAGTGATACAGAAAGTTCAACTATGTGGAAGAGAGTGATTCCTTGCCTGTGAGGAATAGTGGCATGGGAGGCTTAGGTCCTTAGGCATCTGTCTCTCTGTTGCTGACTTTTCAGGGCTGGAGGTTCAGATGTGCACTGCTGTGCTCTCTGTGGGTGTCAGGAATCTGACCTCAGGTCCTCAGCCTTACACAACACACTTTATTCACCAAGCCCTGTCCCGAACCTTTAAACTTTTAATTTGGAAGGAATTTCAGACTTTCAAGAAGTTCAAGAGTATTCCTCTATTGTTTTCACCCAGCTTCCTCCAATAACCTATCTCTGGTCATTGAATGATATAAAAATGGGAACATTACATTGGTGTAATAATATTGAGGAAAATTCCTAAATTAGACTTGAAGAAAGTAGTCTAATCTTTTTTTAACATAAATGACATGTTTTTTTCTTTTGTTATTTTTTAAAAATTTTATTTATTCATTTTACATTGCTGTTTCAGCCCCTCCCTCCTCTCCTCCTGGTCCCACTCTCCTCCCCTGTTTCCTTTATCCCCTCTCCTACTCCTCAGTGAAGGAGAGCCGCTGCATACCCTCCCAGCCCTGCATCTCAAGTTATGTCAGGACTGAATGCATCTTCTCATGTGGCCTGGCAAGGCAGCCTCTCCAGGGAAAGTGATTGAAAAGCAGGCATCAGAGTCCATGTCAGAGACAGCACCCATTCCTCTTACCAGGGAACCTAAATGAGGATGGAGCTGCCCATTGGCTACCTCTGTGTCAGAGGCCTAGGTCTAGTCCATGCATGGCCCTTGTTTGGTGCTTCAGTCTCTGCAAGACCCTCCGGGCCTTAGTTAGTTGTCTCTGTTGGTCTCCTTGTAGAACTCCTGTCCCCTCTGGGTCCTTCTGTCCTTCATTCAATGACTCTTTCCAATGTTTGGTTGTGGGTCTTTGCATCTGTTTCAGGTAGTCTAATTTTCCAGTGTGGGCATTCAACCTAGAAAGCACACGCACCACACACTCTTTCTCTACATATGAGCCTGATTTTGAAACTCTGGGCCTGGCAGTTGGGGAAGATATTTTAAATCTAGGACAATAGTGTGTGGTTTTAGGTTATTCTTGACTTGTTCTAACCCAGAATCTTGAACCAAATTCTTAGGCACAGTGTACAGAATTCATTTTCACTTCCAGTTGAATAAGCTGCAGAGCTTATTCACCTTCAACTCTGCACAGTACAAAGGCATTTCCTAGATTCTTTTTGGCTTTCATATTTGCAGTTGGTCTGCTGTCTCCCTATTAGGGTAGCAGCCAAGTCAAATAAAGTTCAGTTCCTTTGAAAATGGAAGTCCACAATGCTTTCACCGGTGAGAACTTTTGTAGTATCTTGGTGGAGTCTACAGGGGCATAGCCCTCTTTGTACACTCATTTGTGCAAAATTGACCTGGTGGCAGGCTCTCCACGCATTGCTGTAGTTTCTGCAGTCTGGACTACCTTTGTCTTCTCTCAACATCAGTCATGGCATCAGTCATCGCTCTTCAGTTCCTTTTATGTCACAGAATGCGCACGAGCCCACTCTTCTCAAGCACTCATGTTGGAGAGATTACATCCGGGCAACAGGAGACAGTGCACGCTCAGTGCTCCAGAGTTCCCTGGATTTACATAGGTGTTGGAGACTTCCTGTGAACAGTCTGATTTAGGAAAGTCCCTGGAAAAAGGAGCCTGTTGGTGACATCCTTTTGAATGGGAGGAAATCGTTTCTGGTTTCCTAATCAATTTTGTAAAGAATTCTGTTTGAAAAGACCCAACCTCAATTCTCTGGCTCTCTGCACTCAATAGGTAATGCATATTGAAGAGCAGCTTGAAGGGTTAAGTCACTGTCCTTCCCTCCTTTTTCTAGTCACTACATGTGCAGAGCTCAAGGACCTGGCTAACGTGGGCAGTTAATTTCTCTCTAGAATTTCTCTTGCTTGAATGTCCATAATACATTGACTTGCGCAAAGAATTGATTTCCACACAAAATTCCCTGCTTGCCCTAAACCCTGCCCTGCAAGCCTCTGGCTGCTTGCATAAGTACGTGGTTTCTTAATGGATCCTTGGGAGAGTAACCAATTGGAATAGAGAGAAGGGGCTGGGTAGTAATGTGAGCTGGCTGCTGATGTACTTCTTTTAGAAGAAAAGTGAGTCTTACTGGCTAACAGGAGAACCAAAGATGCAATCTCCCTTCCAACCATAAGTGCACCTGGAAACTGTTTATGATCACTCACATATTCCAGAAATACTAATGGCGCTGGGGCAGGTGATTCAGCAAATACTCTCAATTGTTAAAAATGCATGCTTTCTGAGCACTGGTGCTGGCAGCGGTGAAGAAGAAGGGTGCAGCCTCCGGAATATCCTACTGAAAGTTTGGAACATCCGTGTTTCTCATAAAGTCTTGGTAATAGGCTGGTACGCATTGGCAATAAAACTGATGTATGTGTTACTGACTACTGTCAGCCTCTGCTGGGCATCGAGCTATCAGTATTTGTGTGTGCATGTTTATGTGTGTGTACGTGTGTGCGTACTATATTGAATGGAGAGACTGACACGTTGCCTTAGTCCTAATCTTACGGGAAACGCTTTCAGTTTTTCATCACTTAGTATAATGTTGATGTGTGAATGCATGCATGTGTGGGTGCGTGTAAGCTAAACCTTGAAGAGGAGGTCGGGCGTCTTCTTCAGTAGGTATCCAACTGATTTGTTTACATATTAAATTTTATTTATCGTGATTGTGTGTGTGTGTGTGCATGTGTGACTGCACGCATGCATACGCTGTAACCCACAAGTAAAAGTCGGAGGACCAACTTGTGCGACAAGCTTGTGAGGACAAACTTGTCCTCACACTGCTAATCATACCATCTCCGTGCCCCTAGAGCTTTCGTCTTAGACCCCCAGTTCTTAGGTACTTGTGGATCACGGGTTTGGGTTATAGGTATGGTTTTACCTCAGTAGAAGCAGTCACTAGATGATCTGAAAGATGGACGTTCACGTGGTATTTGCTGGGAAGGTTTCCTTTTGTAATCATGATTAGGCGTGATTGCTATGGTATGTCCTTGCTGTGAACAGTTATACTGAGCCCTTCTATTCACCTCCAGAGAGATAAGGATTCTTTCTGAGGCTGAAAATTCTTAGTGCATATCTTTTTTTTTTTTTAAGCACAGGACTGAAATAGCTAGGAAATGTCCTCTTTGAGAACACTTGGTGCCGGATTTGTTTATTTTGAAAAGACTTAAACACCTTCTATGTGAATACTCCTAAAACATTCCTCATTATAATTAATTGCATTTTTATATTTAGGGTAAAATATGGGATTCCATCAACACAGGATACTGGTAGTATCCTCTATGGAGTAGGCTTCCCCAGCTGTGGACTTGGCTTAGATGGTTTCATGTCCCCCGCCTATGTAGCAGGCTTATGAATACCAATGGCGCTTTCCTTTGCCCTGTGAATTGTGATAAAAACTATTTCCAGCTATTTCCACATCTTTCCCAGGAAGCAAAATTATCTTTGGTCTAGATTCTCTAGCCTGTGATTCCATAAGATCATTGATGGTTTAAATTAGGCTCTGCAGTGTTTTCAAAGCAGATACAAAGACTCATGACCAAACCTTCGGCAGAGTACAGGGAATCATGAAAGAAGGGGAGTTAGTATGATGGGGAAAGGATAGGAGCTCCACAAGGACCAAATATATCTGGGCACAGGGTCTTTTCTGAGACTGACATTCAACCAAGGACCATGTATGGATATAACCTAGAACCTCTGCTCAGATGTAACCTGTGGTAGCTCAGTAACCAATTGGTTTCCCATAGTGAGGGGAACAAGGACTATTTCTAACAGGAACTCAATGACTAGCTTTTTAACCTCCCCACCCCTCAAGGGAGGAGCAGTCCTGTTAGGCCACAGAGGAGGGCTTTGCAGCCAGTCCTGAAGATACCTGATAAAACAGGATCGGATGAATGGGGAGGAGGACCCCCCTTTCAGTTGACTTGGAAAGGGGCATGGTGGAGATGAGGGAGGGAGGGTGGGATTCCGAGGGAATGAGGGAGCAGGATACAGCTGGGATACAGAGTTAATAAAATGTAACTGATAAGAAAAAAATAAAAATAAAAAAAAATAAAGTAGGCTCTGAGTTCTTGAAGTCCTATAGCCTCTTGAATAGTAATTCAAAGTCATACATCACAATATCTAGATATTTCTAAGTGTCATTTCCTGAGTGCTGTGTGGTAAGAGAAATGTGAATAGAAGGGTAAATAACCTCAAGAAACAGAACTATTTGGAATCCCAAACAATGAAACTTAGCAGAGAACAGGCCAACAGGTCCACTTGGGAAGAAAACATTCTATAACTTAGTATAACCAGGAAAAGACTATTTGCAAACACTCAGGGTAAAGAGCCTTTGGGGCCCACAGTTAATGCCAAGCCAAAATAAAGTAAACAGCATGATGATGGTGTCAGCATGTACCAGCTCTCTGACCAGCTCCTATGAGTCAGCCTTTCAGACTCAGGGAAGTCTGGCCTGACTCATACTACAGCAGACCAAACACCTCTGAGGAAGCAGAATTTCTTCACCCTCGTTGTTGTAAAAGCTTGCCTCACATTTCTTCCACATGCTTTGCATGTGTGTTCTGTGGACCATGAGGTAAACCTTTAAGTAGGATCTTTATGTTCCACCTCTTGCAGAAAATGCTGCTACTTGTCAGCTGTCACTGTGTCACCCAGGTTTAAGGCTTGAGAAGTGTCTGAGCTGGTCATCCTGTTGGCTCTCCTACTCTCACACACCACAGGGAGGGGGGTTAACAGCAAGCCCTGGAACCCAGCCCTCTCTATTCTGCTGCCCATGTGAGGTGCAAGGCCCTGAGTGTTGCAGCTGGTGAGGGACATGGCCAGGTCTCCCACTTTCATGACCCCGGAGCCAACTCTCACACCTACCATAGATGGCAGGGGACAAAGGAGAGAAGAAAGGCCTCTCTCTCTCATCAGTGCCACTGCCCAGCAGAAAAGATGCAGAGCCATCTATGTGTTGGCTCATACACTTGGGGCCAGTTCACCTCAACCCTCACATCCAGGGCGGGCTTTACTGTGCTTCGCAGGTGAGGTGCAGGGCCAGCTCTCCCGAGTGCCACAGCAGGTAAGGGTAGGGACAGCTGTCTCCTCTCATGTCCTCAGTGCCAGCTCTTACATTTGCCCAGGTGAGGGGTGGGGCCAGTTCTGCACAGATGACAATATGTCCCTGTGCTGCAGACCAGACCAGGGATGTCCATCCGGCCCTTGGTAGTAACAAACCCCAGCTGCTGCAGGAGGGCGATGGGCCCGGATGTGGCGCCTGGTGGCAGCATAGGCCAGGACCCCACCGTGGTCCCAGGTGGTATCATTGGCTAATCACATCAGGCTATTCTTCACTACCCTTGAGTCTTCAGTTCTGCCTCTCTTCATTATGCCCACATCCTTCTGTTTCTATTTTTCTTCCATTTATCTACCACTTGCTTGTTCCTCTATGTGGCCCCAGGGTCTCTGAGTGTCTGGGGTCATCTCAGGAGCGGTCTTAGTAGTGCTATGCCTGGATTATACATTATGGCACTGGGCAGGGGTCATTACAGACATGGTCTGGCCCTCTTCCCCCCAAGGACTGCGTGGTGCTGGACTAGAGGTAAACTCAGGCTAACACCCTGTTTGGGTCCCATGACACCAACCGGTTATCTTAGCTCACTTCTCCACAGACCTGCCTTATTGGCACCATGCACAGGTTGTCTGTCTCAGGCTTATGCCTTCCCTGGGCCCTGGGTCCATGGAGGGGTTCTTCTAGTCTCCTGATTGCTCCCTTCCCGAGAGCCTGTCTTGGCCTGTGTGGCTGCATACTGGTGGTCATCCCAGGCTCAGTTTTTTTTTTTTCCTTTCGTGGAATTTTAGTCTGTTAATCATTCACATGTTTACACGTCAGAACACTGAGCACACAGATAGCCTCTTTCCTCTCTGCCACCTCCTGATACATGTGTGATCCGGCAGCCACACCTGTAACACCTCTAGGGGCAGAAGGAAACCATTGTTTTCAATGGTCTTAGTGTGTGTTACATGGCAGTGACAATCTTGTAAGTACTTCATAGAATTTTTAAAGATAGCTTCATCATAATTCTGTTTGATCTGAATTGAATTTCCCATTCAACTGGAATAGCAACCCGTGGAGGAGCTAGATTTCATAAAAACACATAAAAATATTAAATTATTTAGTTAGTGTACCCCGTAAAGAAATATTGAAGTAATTTGGTCATCTGAGCAGAACAAGTGTATTGAAGAGATTTAGCTTGTACTTGAAGTCAGCCAGCATGTCTCAGAACTAAGGACGAGCAAAGGAGAAGAATGCAGCCTGGGATGTCCACCTTGGAAAGCCACCGTGTCTCCTAGGGTGTACCACTAAGGGCTTTCCAAATGACTCTAACCTCATAGAAGGTGTCACAGGTAACATTCTGACTTAGTTAGGGTTCCTATTGCTATGATAAAACACCATGACCAAAAGGAACATAGTGATAAAAAGATTTATTTCTAGGGCATACTTCATCACTGGAGAAACTGAGGGCAGGAGCGTAAGTAAGCAGGGTAGGAACCTGGAGGCAGCAACTGAAGCAGAGGCCATGAGGAACGACGCTTACTAATTTGCTCCTCATAGCTTGCTTAGACTTGCTTTCCTCAGCCATCTAGGACCATTTTCAAGGGATGGTACCATCTGTGGACTGGGCCAACACACATCAGGCATTAATCAAGAAAATGCACTAGTGACTTGCTCATAGATCTTATGGGGGCGTTTTCTCAATTGAGAGTCCCTCTTCCAAAACAACTTTCATTTGTTGACACAAAACTAACCAGAACACCTTCTCCCCAGGGAAGCTTCAAGAAGGATTTAAAATTACAGAGTAACCAAGGTGTCTGGTGCTTGGCAAGTGGGGGTGGGGCTCAAGCCTGTGGTGGGGTCTGGGACAATTTAGTGCACCATACCTGAAAAGAATCAAATGAGAAAGTAGAAAGTAACTAATAAAATTCTTTTTTTTTTAAAATTTGGCAGCAATCTTAGCATGTATGAAATAAGTATTTTCCAAACCCCTCTTAATTTCTGTAGGGCAACAGAGTCTGTGCAGCTGGCTATGGCTATGTTTTTCACCTTGTGACCCGCCAAACATCACAAGCTCCGCTCCTGTCATTCAGTTGGAACGCTGCTCATTCCTGTATAAGGTAATTCTGGGAAAACTCGTCTACATTCTAGTGCACTGCTTTTGATTTAGTGATTGTGGTCTTTATGCACGAAGGGTGCATCATTCTTGGAATTTCTGAGTTCTGGCACTGCTGCAATGTGTTGTTTTATGGCCATGTTATTGGGGTGTTCTTGACATGAAATTAATTGTTTTATATACCTAACATATAAAACTCGATAAGCTTGGAGATAAGTATATACTCATGAAGTCAACTCTACAGTTTGTACCAATACTTGTCACCTCAAAATTTTTCTAGTTGTTCTGTTAATTAATTCACTAATTATTGTTAAGACATATGCAATAATTAGGTACCCAATGTTATATTGCTAATTATAGATATTATGCTATACAGTGTATTTCTAGGACCTATTCACCCTACATAGTTGAAACTATTGTTTTGTACTTATTTGGACCAGTTACCCTACCCCAGTCCAGACCCCACAACCACCATTTTACTCTCTGCCCCTCAAATTTAGATCCATTAGATTTCTGATATAAGTAAAAATTTTTTTCTGGCTCTGGTTAATATCACTCAGTACACTATCTTATGAATTTATCAACATTACCACAGGAAGCAGGGGTTTATCATCTTCAAGGCTAAATTATATTTCATCATAAGTATATATGACATTTTCTCAGCTCATTCATGTATTGATGGACACCAAAGGTGCTTCTTTGTCTACTGTGTAAACACATTAATCACAAGTTTTTCGTGGGAGATAGAGGAGAAAGGAATACCTTTAGAAGCCAGCAGTACAGAATATCCCTTCTATAGCTCAAGAAAATTCAGTGGAAATACAAATTGAATTTCTAGGGTTTGATAGCAGCTTGCAATGCTGAGCCTTAAGGAAGGCCAGTAGACATAGATCAAGAGGTGAGTTGGTCTGTCTTGGAGGAGGAACTCTTCGCTTGTGCCTTGCCTACCATCGAGAGATAAGATACTGTCTCAAGTCCTCATAACAGATTGTAAGGGCATCAGATGTTAAGATAAAATACTGGAGGAAACAGGGTGGCATAGAGAATTTAAGAAACAAAGCAAAAACTGTTGGTCCCAGGGTCAGACAGGCCCTGATGCAAATCCTAACATGCACCTATTAAGTTCCTTTTTTTTTTAAATTACTTTTTAAAGAAAGAGTGGAGTTCTTATTTGTGAAGTGGCAATAAATCTGCATTAGATATTTTGTGTGAATTTTAGAGATACTTCAGGTGATTCACCTAGGAACAGTAGGAACCAAGTGGCGGGTAGCTGAAGTACTGATGGTGATATAAAGGTACACTACGTTAAGAAATGTGTACCGACACAGTGGAAAAATGATCAGCGTGGAAGGGTCATGAATTGTTGCTGAAGGAGTGCTGACTGAGACTGGGATTAGCACACATGTGGTGAAGGTAGCATCCAGAAGTCCTTGCCACTTTTAGAATGTGAGAGAAGTCTTCAAGGTAAGATCAAGGTTAATAGTAGAGTTGAGTTGAGTTGAGTTGAGTTGAGTTGAGTTGAGTTGAGTTGAGTTTAGTTTAGTTTAGTTTAGTTTAGTTTAAGGAGAGGAGTACAACAGGTGAGGTGACCAGTAGTGCTGGGGTTTATGCTTCTAAAAGGCGCGGATGGAATATCAGGGAACATGGCTATGTGTTGAATGATTATTGGCAGGAGCATGTCACAGGCTACAGGCAGAAGACTGAGAGATGAGCAGTGTCCACCACGAAAGGGTCCCGGGCCTTGCTTGTTTGTTTTCTCAAATTTGTTGTTTTTATATCTGATAAGGTATAACAATACAGGCTATAGGAGACAACAACTCAAATCAAACAACTCAATATAATCCTCTTCTGGATAATCCAGCTTTAATCTGGAAAATTGACCTAAGATGGCATTTCTGAAAAAAAGATGATATGATTGAAGATATATTTCCACTTTCACACATATAGTAGCACTATTTACAATAGTGAAAATGGAATCAATTTGTGATCATCACCCAGTGAGTGGGTAAAGAAAGTCTCTCTCTCTCTCTCTCTCTCTCTCTCTCTCTCTCTAACACACACATATATACATATATATACACACACACTCATATGAATATGTTTTAGCCTTAAAGATGTGAAATACCATGGGTGGAACTGGAAACTATTATATTAAGTGAAACAAATCAGACATAGACGGGTAGCATGTGATCTCACTTATATGTGGGATTGAAAATGTTGGTCTTAAGGAAGTTGAGAATTGAGGTGAGTGTGGTGAGGAAAACTGGTTAGCCTAAGTCACAGTTAGGCAGTAGTAAATTCCGGAATTCTACACAGTATGTTAATCAGAGATAATAACGCCATATATATTTAAAGAAAAACTGGGTAGGTGTTACATATGCTTACTATATTTGAGAGGATAGGCAGGGATACCCTAATCTGAACATCACACAAGGTAATACCATGCATGCATCTGTAAGGATGTTTCACGCCTATATGTCAGTTGTGTGACGTGTGTAAAACCCCTTTTCATGCCAGTGGGAGGAAATGTTGATTAATTTACTTTAATTCTTTGTTTTGCTTTCTAGGTATGGTCTCTTTATATATCCTAAATTTCAGCCACTTTGGAATAATGACACTGGCCTCACTCTGTTCCAGAACTTCATGGTTTGGGGAAGTGCAGGTGGCGCCCAGGTATGCTTTTATAAGCATGCATATAATACACATAATATAACATCTATGTCTTTGTTGTCTAGAGGTAGATTAATAAGTCACTCTTTCTAAAGGGTAACAGTTTGATAAGGAAGAGAACACTGTAATCTTTTCACAACTAGTGTCAACGGCCTCATAGGTGGTGTGTGTGTGTGTGTGTGTGTGTGTGTGTGTGTGTGTGTGTGTGTG